AAAAAAAAAAAAAAAAAAAAAAAGATGTGATTCTTTCCGCAAATGAATCCAATATTTAGAACAAGGGGGTTACGATGAATCGGGTTACAATAAACAATATCATGATTCAATGCAATAACGATTGCAGTTCTCAAATAATCTAGAAGTGGCATATGAATACAGAATCCAGAATGATACATGAAATAGGCAAAGATAAAATCTTATAATCTTAAGTAACCAAGTTATAAACGTACTCATCTTATCTTTAGATGAGCGTTTTGGTTGTTGATCCTATGATTTCCTGAAATGGTGCAAATGAAGGGAACTTTCTGGTGAATATGTTCCTGGAAGATTGCAAATGAAGGGAGCTTTGAGGTGATCATTGTTTCACCATGAAAGAACTCTTACAACTACAGCCCCCAACAGCACTTGGATTTGTGGTCACCTGCACACAGACAATGGTACAAGAAATCAACTTGTGCTGCATCAGCACTTGCTTTATTGAAAGATACGAATGCATAGAACACATGGAGAAAAATGAGGAGAATTCTACTACTTAAGGGTACTTCACTCCCAAATCTTTCGCTTGCAGATGTTTTATAAGCTTGATTTGTTAGAGAACACACAAATATAAAATATAGTAAAGTTAAAATATCATTTTGGTTCCTGTACTTCGGGTATCATTCCACTTTAGTTATTGTAAAAAAGTTACCATAAAAGAACTTCATGGACAACGTTTTAGATTTATTGAACTAAATTTGGACGTTTAAGAGTATAAGAACTGAAATAGAACAAGTCACGCATGGAAGCAAAAACGGAGCGAGCCAACAATACTGATAAAGGTTTACTCACAACGAAAGCGCAACGAATCAGCTCTTCAACATAATCAACTGTTGCTCCTTTCACAAAATCATATGAGATATTATCAACTACCAATTTAACTCCCTCCTTCTCACACACCCTGCAAACAAGAAAGAAGAGAGAAGGGTAAACTTTTAAAAATGTAAAAGGAAACATCAATGACAATTTTTAGGTGAAAAGCCCAAAATAAGCAGCAAGTATGAGCTAGTATTTCAATGAACCTGTCATCTGGATTGGTTTGGTCATCCAAATTGAAAACATATTGAAATCCAGAACACCCCCCAGTTTCTACACTCAAGCGAAGCATCTTTTCTTCCATGGGTTCTTGCAATTCTTTCATTCTCTGCAAGGCATGTCAAGACTCAGCAGAAAGTAAATCAAGATCGTTCTTCATAAGAAGTAATTATTCAACACTTACAATACACGCAGAAGAAAAGGAAAACTAAGTAGAAAAGAAGATTGAATGAACCCTTTTAAAAGATGCAGATGCAGATGCAGATGCAGGACAATGGTATTAATATATATTTTATCCATGATATAAAGCGAGTATCGACCAATTTAGCCCTTTGGTAAAAGAAAGTACATCATACATCTTATCATGAAGAGTTCATTATCAAGGTTACAAGTGATATGGACCAACAGACATTAACCATACAATATACTTCAAAGAAGATGAGAAGAAATGCTGTCAAAATTATCTAAAGATGTTTCAATTCGTCTTATGTGGAGTACCAAGAACTAAAATAGTGCACAAAAATTATGACAGTGACAGTGAAATGGTGCACAAAATGAGGATAGTCCAGAAACCAAGAACTAAAACAAATTATGACAGTGAAATGGATAAAAATTGCCTAAGCATATTTGGTACATGCACAAAAAAGGATTACATAATATGTTGGAGTACCCGGATGCAATTATCTGTCATGTGAATGGTATCGGTGTGTGGAGATGGAGATTGAGCTGGAGATGTCAACAAAGAAGAGGCTTCTTGAAGAGCTGAAACAGAGGAGCTAAGAAGCCTCTGGTTCTCTCGGATACGTGCTGTCAAGTATGGAGCTAGCCGCTGACTTAGCAATCTGGGGACCATCTCTTCACTCTATCTTCTTTAAATTTGATCCTTATCTGCGGAAAACGCAATGTGCTAAGGGTATTAACATGACTAATGGGGACAATGCTTCTATCCGAGTCAATTGAAACAAAGATGGAAATGCAACATTTTGAATTGACCCACTCCAAACACACTTATAGCTATAGTGATGAAAGCTAGTTTCGGATAGATTCCATATCTAGTTTCCACGACATTTTATTTTTATGTTCATGAGTGTTGAGGCTGACTTGCACGCACCTCAACTATTCTCCTAGGATAATTGCCTGACCTACTAGATGCCAACATAACTCGTGAGGTATTAAATCCTAAGTAGGAGGTCATCATGGCTTGGCCTATCCCTCTATTATTTACATAGCCCTTATTCACCACTAAGTCAACCTATAGTAGACGTGTGTGGAAACCTCCAAAAAGGTGGATTGCGAGAAGGTTGAACTCCAAAGGGGGGCGGTGAGCCAGCGAGAACGCTGGACCCCGAAAGGGGTGGATTGTGAGATCCCACATCGGTTGGAGAGTGGAACGAAACATTCCTTACAAGGGTGTGGAAACCTCTTTCTAGTAGACGTGTTTTAAAACCGTGAGGTTGACGGCTATACGTAATGGCCAAAGCGAACAATATCTGTTAGCGGTGGCTTTGGGCGGTTACAAAGTGGTTAGTTTTAGAACTTCTTTGTAACTATACCATAGGTATTATTTCAGTTGAGCTCTTTTGTGAGGGGCTTTCCTCTTGTAAGCTCCTAGTATTCTTTCATTAAATAAATGGTTTTTCTTAGAGGCATGAATCGAGTTTCTGAGAAATTGTTTTGTTAGAAAAGCTAATTCTACAACAAACTCAAGTAATCAGAAATTCTCAATTTAAATTGGAGGGAAAGCTACTGCTAATAACCAGCCAGAAAACTCATTCTTCTTTGTGGATTCATCCTTTTCCGTCAAAGAACACTCGGGAAAATGGAAATCGTAAGCAAAAGAAGGAAAAACGAGCAGGACAAAAAAAAAAAAAAAAGTGAATAGAAGGTTCTTACATGTTGGAGACGCTTGAAACAGAGGCACAAAAGCAATCCACAACTCCGCCAATGTTAATCGTTAGCATCGATAACTTTATCGGAAAAATCGCCACCCTTGAAGGAAGTTTAGGGGTCCCGTAGTTCATTTTCTTCCCCACATCCGCCACGCTCGATTAAACCCAAAGAGGAATCGAGAAGCGGAGGAAGAACGCAGCGATTCAACCCTACCAAGAAGGATGGAGATTACAGAGAGAAGGCTTCAGCTCGAATCAGGGATGAACACAGCATAGGAGGAAGATAGATTCGCGGCAACCGTCTCTTCTTTTTCTTCATTTGGTATTTAGGTTTTTATTTATTTATTTATTTATTTTATAATTGAATTTAGTTAAATAAAAAAAAACAATTATTATAATTAAGATATATATCTTTGACTAATTTTTAAAAAATATAAATAATTTTTTAAAAACAAATTTGATTTTTAATCACTATTTTTGCCTAAATTTATTTATTTATTTATTTTATCGATATGTTAAAAAATGAAACCAAATTTTAAAAATAAAAATAATTAATTTTTTATTTATAAAATTGAGACAAACATAATTTTAAAAATAAAATAAGTTTTGTAAGAGAATATATATATATATATATATATTATCTATTTTAAGGATAAGGCGGGAAAATAACGGTATCTAATTTGGCAGTTGGAAAGAGAAGAATGAGATGGCGAGGTATTGGGAATTTTGCGACAGCCAAGAACGAAGAGAGAAAATAGCCGAAAATGGAGGCGAATGCAAGATGAGCGTATAAATTGATTTTGATCTCCACCATTTTTTTGTTCCGGTGGAGGTCTCGGAGATCCGGTGCTCTCGCGCTCGCACACCGGAACCGGACATTATTATTATTGTTATTCCCTTTTCTCAAATTTTCGAGGGCAAGGACGATTCGATCCCATCTCCATCCGGTCCTCCGCCCGGAGCTTGTTCTTCGAAAATCCCATCGATTTGGGATTCTCTCCTTGCCCAACGAATGAAATTTGTTGTTTTTAGGGAAAATTTTGGGATTTCCTTCCACTAATGGCGATGGTATCCCGCCAAGTGGTGCCGGTGTGTGGAACTTTGTGTTTCTTTTGCCCTGCTTTGAGTACCAGGTCCAGGCAGCCCATTAAGCGCTACAAGAAGCTGCTTGCTGATATCTTTCCTCGCTCCCAGGTTCTTCTCTGTTTTAAATTACCAACTGGTTTTTCAATCGTCGTGTTTGTTGCTCAAGGGAACTCTGGCTGATTGGTTGTGTTTTACGTGGACCTGTATTTTTTGTTTTAACTTGGCTGCATGTTTTATGTTATAATCACTTATTCTACCATGTTCGATTTGACGTAACAACATATCTTTGTGGATGATTAACAACGTTACATCGTGCTTAGATTTCTACATTAAGGGCTAAACTTGATGTTCAATGGAAGTTATGTTCTAAAGTCGAGGGCCAGAATTGAAAAGATTATAAGTTTCAGGAATCAAAATCAATATTTTTAGTCTCTTAAGGGCCAAGGTAGAACATGAACGAAAGTTGAGGGTATTTATTTGTAGAAAGATACATGATTCCAAATATTTCTTTGTTATCACCACCTTTAGTAATTGCATAGAGGATTCCACAAAATTTAAAAAATGCCCCAGATCTATGTTCAAGGCTTTTTCAGGAAGCTCATCTCTCACATCTACCCTGACTTGAAATTCATACGTTTCTCATAGGCTATCTGGTGAAAATATTCTTATACTATACAAACATCGTCGAGCGAGTGATCCATAATTGTTTGCTTGAAACATATATGACCATGATCTAACTTGAATATATAATACTACAAAGGCGCAAAATATTTCTTGTTGGTTTAGTCCATGATTCATGGACACCAAATATTTCAATTTTATTTGTATCGTTCTCTCCCTTATGTAGCAGTCAGCCATATAGCTATTTACAAAGGCATTTTTACCTTTAAGCCTCACCTCATGTTGTGCTGCTTAGTACTCTTTGTTCCGAGTCTAACTTTTTTCCTTGCCAATGTAGCTAGAAACACGTGTTGGTGTTTTTTTTTGTGCCTCAAAGAACTATATGTTCAAAAATCTATTTTAGATTCTGAGAATTCAGTTCTGATATTGAACCTTCTCTTCGTGTTATGGCAGGAAGAGGAACCCAACGACAGGAAGATTGGAAAATTATGTGAATATGCAGCGAAAAATCCTTTTCGGGTTCCCAAGGTGCCACTTACCTGAATTTTATTTTCACTAATATCTTGGAACCATGTTCTTGGATTATTCTGACAGCATCTTATTTTCCATAAAAATAATTTGTAACACTTCATCTAACTTATCTAGAGACAAAGATGATGTGTAGCAATTACTATGTAGATTGAACTGCTATTGATAAAAAGGTTATGGAATCGTCTAATATGGAGGACGGTGCAGAACTATATTGATATAAATCAAGCATGGCAGATTTCTCCATTCTCTTATGTTTTTCTTCCTTGAGAAACTATATGATAGAAGAGTTGATAATTTGAGGGTCTGCAGGAAACTTAATTCTACTGTTTACTTAGCCTTGTTAAACGTTTGATTTGGCTATTCTTCTTTTGCCTTTCTTCGCATTAAATGTAGTTCCTGATATCAGAGGTTAGGCATTTTTTTTGGTGCAAGTTATTCTTAATGTTTTCGGCATGCTTCAGCTGTTTTTTAAACAAAAAATGAAACTTTTCATGGAATAAATGGAAAAAAAAAAAAAAAAAAAAAAAAAAA